TTCACATCACAACACTTTGAGATTTCAATCCGAACATTGTCAAATCCAAATCGCATCGTTCCAGAATTCTAAAATGCACACCACAACACTTTAAAACAATCTAATAACATTCTGATATTTCAATCATAACATTCCAAAACATTAATCAGTTCATCCAAAATTCAAATCATAAAATTAAAAAAAAAAATCATTCCTTACATTCTGAAATTTAAATCGCAACATTAGAAAATTTTAATCATAACGTTCCAAAATGTAAACAAAATAAATAAATAAATTATAACACTCCAAAATTCCCAAATTCATATCACAGATTTTTTTAAATCATAACATTCTAAAATATAAATCCTAATATTCCAAAATTTAAATCAGATCATTCCAAAATTCCAAAATTCTAAAATTCTAATCACAACATCACGAAATTCTGACCGAATCAAATTTCAAGATTTTAAAACAACTTTTGATTCTAACGTCAAAAAGAAAAAGAACTCAAACAAAAAAACATAAACCACATTTATCCAATGTTCATCTTTAATTTCAGAAAACGATCACGTTTATTGAAATAATGCCAAATTTGCATATTTAAACTAAGAAATTTGAGTGATCTTGTTTCCTGTCGTCGTCCACGAGATAAACGTCAACGTGTCGCCTTCAGTGACGCCATCCGCAGCGACTGTTCTGGTACGTTGTAAATATTGAACATTAAACATCACTCACAGGTTGTAAAATGTGTTTTTGACTTCTCTCAGAAACATTTAGCAGCAGTTTCATGTTGACGTTGGTGTTCTGGTGTTTAGTTGCTCTGGAGCTGATCAGTGTTTGGAACGGAGGCCGACAGGTTTCACGCTCCAGCTTTTAATTCCTGTTGGTTTGGTGCTTTAGTGGAACAGTTTGTGGACAAGAGACGAACACCGAGCCATAATAAACATGAGCAGCGCCTTCAGTGATGTTTAGCTGTAAATCAAACCTTTGCTGCAGCAGGACTTCCATCAACTCGTCACATCGACTATAAATCCAGCTTTGAACAAGAGAAAAGCCCCAGAACATAATCCTGCAAACACTAATTAACTAACCAAACACATTGGGCAGCAGATAAACAGGATTTCTCTGAGACAGAATCGTATAACAACAAGCGAACAATCGTAATTAGCTGATGCGGACTGACATGATCAGGAGTCATTTTCTGGGCCGTGGCTGCTAAAATATTCACAGACCTGTAATCAGTCAGCAAACCTGGAGAACCAGATGATCTGAGCAGATTCATCATGTTGACATGCTAATATTCTTCCCCCGAGGCAGCCACACATGATGCGGCAATGAAAACAGAATCAGCGGAGATGAATATTAAAAGTGATGAGACA